TTGCAGGCATGTATACATTGCATGGCCTCATAAAACCCACCTTATGCGCGCATGATGCCAGCAAGCTGCGCCAAATGTCAAATCGCGAAACTCCAGGACGAGGATAAGCACACATGTACACGAACAGAATTGTACACGCACATTTGTCTACATGTATACACCTGCACATGTCTTTTCAACTCGCGCGTAATCGGTATCACTAGACACCGCCAGTAGTGAACACTCCTGGTGCACTGGTGTGTGTGAGGCTACGCAATTGCATGTAAACGTATAAATGTGCCCCCACATAATATCACAAACTTGCACGCATGCATACTCACACACGCATACGTACAGACAAAAAGACCATTAGACACACCTTGTGTGTGAATGATGACAGCCGGTAGCGCTAAGGACGCAAGCCCTTGGAACACAAGTGTGTGTGAGGCTACACGGGCTATATCTGTGTTTGTACCTCCGGCTTGTCTTGTTCTGTAGGCAGCAAAAGAGGTATCGGCCAATACATACGCATATGAAACGTAGTAGGCACCCTGAAAAAAAGGCAGTTTGACACGAAGTGAGTGAACGTAACTTTATACTAACTGACGTATACACCGAGAGCGCGTAGTTGAATGTAGATATTCGAGAACGAGAAGGAACATATATACAAAGCACGAGATGCTTAGACTATGATCACCAAAGGGGCGGAAACGGCTTGGAGGATAGACAGGTCGATTTAGACTATGAGGCGAAAAGGGTTTGTACTCTCATAAATTCGATATCACTAGGTTTAATCAAATACGTATACACATGTGGGTGTGGGGTTGACCTGTTGGCAACGATAATCTCGGTAGAACTTTCCAGGTACGCTTGCACAGGGGACAGGAATCAGTCCAAGTACTAGACATGTAATAGGTACGCCCTGGATACACTCTGCACATGAGATCCAATGCAAGTATATAACATAATATCAGATATAAACAGATGTAATAGGCTACTTAATCCCAGAAGAAAACATATCTCTGAGGGCGATTAGAGGAAGCCCCCGCACATGACACACACTTCGTCAACTAAGTACCGCACTGGTTGTCATACTCAGAGATAACCCTGTTGCAATCTCAGCAAAAAGCCAATCGCCAACCGATAGCAAGCAAGTCACTGACCGCAAGGAGGTGCAAAGTATATACCGTATATTCGAGTCCTTATAAACCTAAGAGTACGTGTACATAGCATAGTGTAATACTGTCATATTTACATAAATATCAAGTGCTGGCGTTCTTACCGATACTAGTTTAGGTGAAATCATTGGCCGAAACGCCT